CTTTCATGTTCCTGTTTCCAAGCTAATGCCTGCAGTTACTGCTGTATTTACCCACATAAATGCTGCCTTTGGAAGGGATAATTTTTGTTGTGTCGTTGGATGAGGGGCCTGGCCTCTTTTCCTGTATTAACGTTGTGCTACTTCATTGTTTGTGCCCAACAGGAGAAAAGGGAGAGGGCAGCCCTTATGTGCAGCATGGGTACCAGTACACTTTATTTCAGGTTTTTAAAGGCAGCAATTATGTCTCCTATTGCATTTGAGGTAGCTCGTGCAGTCGCAGATACTGTAGCGAGGACACAGGAATCGCCTGTCCTTGCACGTACTGCGAACGGTCGGTGCTTGGGAGCGCGGCGGATGCCGGCGCCGAGCCTCACTTCCACGTGGGCTGCTTCAGAACAGCTCGTTTTCAGCCTTATCCATTTTCTGGTTTTGCTRTGAGGATCATTCTCCATAAGCCTGTGCAGCTCGGAGGCCTTCTGAGACTCCCAGCACGGGCTGGGCTGGGCACCTGGTCCTAGCGTCCTGCAATGAGATGTTTTACCGCAGGCTTTGGTGAAACCGAGACTAAGCTGTTGGTTGTTGCCCAAGGCTCCCTCCGCAGTCCTGGCCTGCAGAGTGTGGCCATTTCCCTGCTGCATGAGGGCAGTTTGCAACAACATACAGGGGTTCTTCCCAAAATCCATGGACGTTCTCGGTGCAGAGCCACTTCAGGCTCCATGCAGACCCCTGGAYCCACCGGGATACCCTTGTTACCTCCTCATTACCCCTGTCCTCTGCATGGGCCAGTACRTTTTTCCCCGCCCCTTCTGGTTGCCCCTTCGCTGGGGTTCAGTTTGTGGGCCAGCCAGTGCAGGTAGCGGAGCTGAGGGCAATCTCTCTGCGTAATTCCTGTGGTGGCTCTTCAGCTGCGTCGTGAAAAGCAGAGGGATTTGTGCGTGTCCTGGGAGACGCGGGGAACGTGTTCTGTCCTTTTCTGCACGTGCAAACCCATTCTGTAGTGACTTGTCAGCTGAACAGAATGCTGAACGTGCACAATGCTTCTTCACTTTGCCTTAAAATAGGCCATCTAAATGAGGCGCTCTGTGGGCCTTTCCCAGTCTCTCCTGACTGGCAGCTTTCACTGAGCTTCCCCACACCTCCCACGGCCTTTTTTTTTTTTTTTTTTTTTCTTTTTTTTTTTCTTCGGGAAGAAGGAGCCTCTGAAATGCAAGTGGGCTTCTTCATGGCTGACAAGTGCAGTGCAGGGCGACGTGGGGCAGAGAAAAGCAGATACAACCTGAGGGAAATCTGCGAAAGGAAAATGGGCTTGGAAAGGGACCGAAGCGCTGCGTGGGCTCGGAGAGCAGAGCGCTGCTCCTGGTACCCCTGCTCTGCRGCGCTTCGAAACGCAGCCAGGTCCTGCTCTTTCCATTAGTACAAAGGTCTTTCCTGCTTTGAATGACACGAGTCCAGGCTCCTCTCCTGGAATCCCGCACCCGGGGCCATCTCCGCAGTGTCCGCACCGCGGGAGAACCCTCCCGGCCCCTTGGCCCCGTCCCGGGCAGAGCCCCGCGCGCTCCGTCCTGAGGCTGCTTCTGGCTTTACGAGAATTTCCCAAGAAACCCCAAGCCGCGTTTTTATAAGAGACGATGACATTTGCGGAAAAGGTCAAGGCTATAACAGTCAGCATCCTTGGAGACAGGAATTCTCAGCCCCTGCAGCGTCCCGTAATTTGTCATGTCTTTAAATGCTCAACTCCCCGTTTTGCATTCGCGATCATGGGAGACATGAGGTTTTGATTTCAAAACGAACTGCACGGCTGGCTGGGCCAGGTTTCCCTGCAGAAAATGTCCAGAAACAGAAATTGTCAGGACTTCACTAATTATACAGTTGTGTTTGGCCCCAGTCTTTAGCCAGGACCCTCCAGTCCATGGGAGGGACCTCGGGAAGCACTGGGGGAGCCTCAGCCTGGAGCGCTCCGGCTGCTCCTCCCTGCATCCTCACTCCGGAATTTCTCTTCTTTCCGGGTTTGGGCCTGTTGCAGCAGGGGGGCCCTGTGGCAGCTCAGTGCAATGCCTGGGACGTGCCGTGTGCTGCAAGGTCTGACCGTTCCCGGCAAGCATAGAAGAGCTGGGAGCTTCTCTGGGAGCTTGCGGGGAGAAAGAACATGGGAACACGAACGTCGCTAGCAGTGAAAACTGAGTGGGATTTGTGTTTCTGTGAGGTGTCAGGAAACAGCTCTGAGGGCGCTGGCGAGGAGGCTTCCCAGGCTTCCAGCAACCTTAACCGCTCCGTGGAGCCCGGGCTCCGGAGCGCCGCTTCCCAAGGGAGCCGGGCGCAGTGTGGAGCGCCGGGCACGAGCGCAGTGCCGGGGACGGCAGCGCCCGGAGCGGCCTGACGTCCCTGACATGCTGGATGTGTTTGTAGATGCCTTGTTAGGCTCCAGCAAGCCKCTAGCTGGAGGTTTTCCTCTTCTGGGAGCCCCTAGGATAACAAAGCGGCTCAGCCACAGGTAGGAACGGCGGTGGGACTCGTTCACGTCTGTGACGTGCGCTTGGGGTTGGAGAGGCCTCCGCTTGGTTCACGTCGCCCCGCTTGCAGAGCGAGGCGGCCCCGCGGGGCCGAGCGCCTGCAGAGCTGGGCCCTGAGTGTGCTTCAAGTGCGGCGCTTCGGGGCCGTTCCCCGCGGCCGCGCTCCGGCCTCCCGTCCCGGCGATCAGCGCCCCCATCCTGCCCTTCCCTCTGCCCGTCCCTGGCAGGGGCGCCTCCCGCCCGGAGCCCCGGGCTCCCTCGTGGGGCTCCCGGCTCCCGCTGCGCTGTGTGTGTCACCGCTCGCAGGACRTGGCCGCGGCTCCGGCGCCGCAGCCGCTTCTCGCAGCAGAGCAGCCTCGTGCAACGCGCCCCGGGAAAGGGGAAGTAACGTTCCCGGGCGGAGGAGCTGCAGGGAGGATGGCAGCGTCAAAGTGCGCAAGGACGTCTGCAACAAATGCATTTAACGAGGGCGGGTGGTCCAGCCTCGGCRCCAGGCGCTCTGTGGCCGGGCCCAGTTGCAGGCTGGCCCAGAGCTGCGTCCTGCCGGTGCCGTCCCCGCTCGACAGCAGGTTGTGCTTTGCCGGGCGCCGCGCTCCGTCCGCGCAGCGCCTGGCTCTGCCGGCAGCCGCCCCGCGCCGCACCTCGCGTTTAGCCTCGTGAAGTCCCTCTCATCCCTATCCAGACTTCAGCTGTATTAGTTATTTTTAAACCTCACAGAAGGAGCATTAAAAATGTGCTTTTTCATGCAAGCAGCCTTAAAAAAACTCCCTGCCTTATGTTCCGAGTTGCTTTTTCATAGTTCCCCATTGCCTCCCTGCCTACACAGTGACACGGAATGAAAAGGAAGGGGAAAAGCCACCTTATTTATTTATTTATTTGTTGTACTATTCGTCAGCCTCGGGGGCAGCACAAAAAGCTAATTCTGGGGTCTCTCTCTGTGAGTGCCGGGCTGTGGCTGCTCTCCCTTGCTAGGCTAAGACTGGACGGGGTGSAGGCCGCCCGTCTTGCCGGTCGCGTCCTCAGGCGGGGCTGGTACCGGCCCCGCGGCTTTGGGAGCCGCTACCGCTGCGTTTGTGAGCGGCTCTGGCTGACACCCCGCACGCAGAGCCCTGCTCCCCATCCGGGCAAAGCCCCTTCCCAGGGGATGCTGCTCCCAAAGCACCGGTGCCCTTGGGAATCCCGCTTCATCCCGGGCTGCTCCCCGTGCAGGGAACAGGACGGGATCCAGGCGCCCTTCCCGCTGCCCCCAGCGCCGCCGTCCCCWCCGAACACACCCAGCCGCAGGCTTATTCAAAACATTTATTAGTGTTTAAGGAAAATAATAGTGTGAAAGGTACAGAGCTTTCTCTAAAGCCATATGCAGTTTTCTTTAAACAAGCTTATTTGGTTGCAAATTCTACATGAGAGAAAACTAGTCTGTTTTTTTCTCCCAGAGATTTGGAATTGAAGGATAGGGTTTCTTTTGTTTTCGTTTATTTCARCACTTGAAGCTAGGACAGCATTTTCTAGGGTTTATTGGTATCTTCTTCCAGGAGGCATTTTGCTTCTCCCAGTATTTCCATTCTTGAACAAGGCTCATTCCAGATGTGAAGCGTAAAGGGAACATCAAACCTTAGCTTTTGAGCTACATCTCCTTCCTGAACACTATGTTCAGAAGGAGTGTTAATTAAAGCATCGTACAGTATCTAACTGGACAGTCTTTTTCAAAAGTTTATAAAGAATTAAGGCTATGCAGATGTCACAATAAAATACTCTCAGGTAAAACGCACCCTATTTGTTAGATATGAAAGAAGGTTTAACAATAAATAAATGATTTATGCTGTCAATAACATTATGGAACTGTATAAAACTATATTTACGCTGCTTTAAACATAAAAAAAAAAAAATACCAGTGGCATGAATATATACAACACAGGTCATGACATACGTTTAAATTATCATAGCCAGCAGTGTTCTTTTCTTTTTTTTAATGGAGACACTATAATAAATAGAAATGTTAAATATTTACAATAATAGCATATGTGGAATCAGTAGATGAACACATAAAATCTTCACACACAGAGGAAAAAAAAGTTATGCCTTATACCCTCCCCCCCCCAGCTCCCAACAACAAAAAAAGAATTTTTCTTTGACTAAATCCAGGGAATAGAGAGCTTTCCCCACTCGGGATGGATGACTACAAATAAATCTGTATGCATGCTGAGGTGATACGTTGACCGAGACATTCAAGGATGTGGATCTCTGTTTGGTTGCCGTAGATAAATCAGGCCTCTAACGAGAGGGGGATCTGATTTCAGTTTGGTGCCAGGCACCGGGTCGGCAGCGAGTTGTTCTGCTCTGTTTGTTAAATCGCTTCYGTTCGTTTTGGTTTGAGCTTGTTCCTTTGCGTGGCTATGGACTATGGGGAAAAAAGGATGCTCCTGGGAAGCTCCGGGGACCAGGGACCCGCTTTGGGCTCCACCAGCAGCCAGACCCGTCGGTGGCCGCTCGGGAGCAAGGCGGGAATGACCCGGAAGGCTCCTCCCGGCCGCAAGGAGCTCCGCTCCTCGGCTCCGCACAGTCTTTGCAGCTCCTTTGGGCCAATCCCACATCTTCCCAATGAAGTCAGTAGGAATTTTTGTCATAGAACTTAGCTGGGAGTAAAACTCAAACAAGATCAAGGTCCTTTCTTTAAATAAAGCCCCGGTGATCGCCTAAGAACGTATCTTTTCAACTTGACGATCCCCTTTGCTTCCTACGTGACTTCTATTAAAAGTAGTGCCTATAAATTCTGCTGGTGGATACATGCATTAAATTCTGACTGAAGTTATTAGGAGCTGCATTCACTTAGCAGTAACGAAAATCTAGGCTGGAAACTGCAGCCAAGTTCCAACACGCTCTGCCGTTTATGCAGCTCCTGCCCACCATGCGCCAAGTTCGTTCCCTGGGTACGCTCTGTCTCTTCYGAACTGCCTTCCTGCCCCCACAGCTTTCCTCGCAGGCTCCTAAACGAGAAGGCTCCAATGCTTGGTGTGATTCCCACTTTCCCAGAAAAATTCACTTTTTCTCCAGAGGAAGCCAAGGAGCTCGTCCTCCTGTCCTCATGCTGCTGTAACCTACCTTTCCAGGACAGCATGTGGGGCTACAGGACTGCACATCTGCAACCTGAGAATTACAATTGCATAGGGGATGAGGGTGAGYGGGACGTGTCCTCACACCTCAGCTGCACTAGGGATTGCCCGGGAAGGAGGGAGCTCCCGACCCCCTTCCCTCTGCAGTGACCAATTCTGCAGACCCTGGCGGTCGTTACCTGTGTGACRATTAGCTATAGGTCCGAGCCCCCTCCCAAGTCTTTGGCATTTTGACCAACCACAGCCGACCTGCACCAAGCTGCTTCCTAAGAGAGACATTTCTAATGGGACAGCCTATGGGCTCCCRAGCTGCCTGAGCCCACACCCGTGCCTGTAAGCTTGGGCTCTGCATAGGGTGGAGGTCCTGCTCTGGTAGCTGTGTCACYGAGTGGGCAGGTTTAATTTCTACAAGAGAACAGCCCTGGGCAGTTAGAGGTCTGGGAACCCAGAGGCTCAGAGGTCTTCCACGCTGTGTTCTGCAGCTAAGCAAGTTGTAACAGTCCAGGTGTCTTGACTGGAAGGCGACCACTTAGGTCTTTGGCATCCTGAAGTCCCTGGGTAAGCAAGTGTCAAGTTCTGCAGTGGTTAGGAAACAAACAGGGGCACTTAGAGGAGGCAGCATCACCCAGGCAGGAGCAATGGCTCAGAAGTTACTTGAGAGAAAAAGACAGAGCTCCAGACCACAAGGTCCCTGTGCAAGAAATGAGATAGTTGGTTCACTGGAGCATCACAGAGAGCCTTGAGCTCTTATGTTCTCAGCCACAGGCAGAAATGAAATTCCTTTGGGATTTAGCCATCTGCCTTCAGACTGTACCCTAAACCTTCAGGGGTGGGAAGCCACGTGTGGCCAAATACAGCCCGGCAGAGCCCTCCTGTGACCTGCTCCCCAGCTGAGAGGACCAAGAGAAAACAGCCCCCCAAACAACCCACCAGCCTCAAAACAAGACCCTGAATTTTCAACCAACATCCATTTTGTAAAAAGGGGAAAGAATTTACTTGGAGACATTTTGCCACGTTCGGTGGCTACTCGAGCGTTGAGCTTGCTGCATCAATAACCCATTGCCACTGCTCTCCCTTTGCTACTATATACATGTCGCTGAGGTCCAAGTATCTCACAATGCCCTGTGTGTGACCTCTGAAGGGGAAATGCTTTGGAATGTCCATAGACAGGGAGATGGACTCAACGGAGGACGTTTCCAGTGGAGGGGGAGGAAGGGGGAAAAGGGGAGGTTGGTGCCTTTTTTCACCTCCGGATGTCAGAGAAGTCGGACAGTTCGTCTGCCCGGTCCACGATCCCKTGTGCCCCTTTGGGACCGTGGGCCCCAGCTTTTCCCCGGGCGTTCAGGTGGCCCTTGGTACCTCTCTCCCCCTTGGGCGCTCGCGAGCTCTCTCTGTGCTCGGCTTCCGAGTGGGCCAGCATGTCCCCGCGGCCGGCAGCCGCTCTGCTGCCTTCGCCCGCCTTCTTCTCYGGACTCAGGATGGAGTCTCCGGGCCCAGCGGAGGTGCAGAAGCTCAGGATAGAGCAGAGGCTTCCCCAGTTCTGTTCACACTGGGTCTGGACGCTTCTCGTTATTGCCTTTTTCACCTCCTCACCACACGTGAGCAGGATATTCACTAGGTCAACATAGGGCCTGCAGATAAAGGAAACAAGAACCAAGTTAGAGGCTGTCAGGACTACCCAGCAGTCAGGCCTGGCACGGGTGCTCTCCTTGCTTACGGCCCAGCTCAGGCTCTTGCTCTCTACCTCCTTGGCAGCCTGAGGTTCAAAAACCTCCCAGCTCGCAGAGCCCCTCAACGCCACACGTTTATTCCCCATTCGTTATGTTCTACCCGGCCACGTCTCTGTAGGAAACGCACTTTTCTGACTGCCCGCAGTGCAGCTAAGTGCTGTACAACTGCTGAGCCTGCCTTCCCTATCCACCCAACGAACTGAGGGAGCCTAATTTCCATTGGGAGATGTCAGGCCAATATGCTTAGCCAGCAGGGCTGTCAAGTGAAACAACTGCTGTTTCACACCTCCTTCCTCCATCTCTTTCCATATCCGTTCAGCTTCATACAACAGTTTGCTGCCTCCAGATGAATGACCACCCAGAGCACACAGCAATCTAGTCTGGGAGAGGAATGCATTTCCTCACCTTGGAAAGAGCAACAGACCCTTGACTAAGCAGTTCCCTGGGCTTTCTCACCACCTTGTGCTTCAGGAAAAGCTAAAGGTTGATCTCTGCCAGAAGCAAGATCTCATCTGCACCTGTGATGTAGCTGTACAGAGTTAAAACTCGGGGAAATTCACCTTCTGCACCGAGCTGCCTCTTCAGCTTCACGGAGTTAACGCAAGTTGGGAGGCATCATTTCTTCCCACCAGAAAAGGGCTCTAAATAACCCTGGGCCAACCCTGTGCCCACAGCCAGCAGCAACGCYGCCTCACAGCACCCTGGTGCTGCCCGTGCCGGGGCAGGAGGAGGGGTGGCCGGGGCTCCACGTGGCCTGGAGAGCACAGGAGCCCTCTCCAGCCGCCCGTTCCCATGCACTGAGTCACGCCTGCAGATCCAGCCGATTAGCGGGTGGCACCACCAGCCTGTTCCTCTGCCCAACTGTTTAACCTCATTTTTGAATGACTAATCTTGGAGAGCCACCTATGCCTCTATCTCAAAATATTTCCCATATTTGGATTGTTTCTATCATTTAAAAGAGTTGTTTGGAATGCAACAGTGAACAATCTGCCAGGGCCTGTCACCACTTCCACATAATAAATSGGTCTGACCCGCGCCCCCACAGCAGCTGACTCGAGAGGCAACTCTGCTGCCCTGCTTGCCTTCCTCAGCACACAGCAAGAGAAACAGCAAGGGCAGAGCAGGGAACACGGCTGAAGGCATCCACGGGGCTCCAAGCTACTTGTCTTTGTTTAAAATCCAAATAGAAAATGTGAAAGACCTGAGCATTTTGCATATGAACTAGTGGAAGGGAGAAAAAGAAAAAGAAAAAGAAAAAGAAAAAGAAAAAGAAAAAGAAAAAGAAAAAGAAAAAGAAAAAGAAAAAGAAAAAGAAAAAGAAAAAGAAANAAAAAGAAAAAGAAAAAGAAAAAGAAAAAGAAAAAGAAAAAGAAAAAGAAAAAGAAAAAGAAAAAGAAAAAGAAAAAGAAAAAGAAAAAGAAAAAAGAAAAAAGAAAAAAGAAAAAAGAAAAAAGAAAAAAGAAAAAAGAAAAAAGAAAAAAGAAAAAAGAAAAAAGAAATCAGTTGTAAAATTGGATATAATCTTTACAAAAAAATCTTTGGAAGAAAGAAGTTGCTGGTATGACTAAAAAGTGGCAGAGCTGCCAACTATTTCAGGTATTCAGAGCCTGCCAGAGCCCTGCGGATTAGCACTGGCCTGTTCCTCCTCTGCGTCTTCCCCTTCTGCATTTCAGCTAGCCTGACCATAGTACCTGAACTGAGCACAAGGCTGCAAGTCAGCAGACCTCATTTTATTTCCAGCTCTGCCACACTTGCCTATTGAGCTTGAACAAGTTACTTAGTTCAAGAATTGCAGAAACGGCCTCTAAATATAGGAGGGAGGAGACTGGATGGAGCGAGGCTATTTGGGGAGTCCCGCACAGGAAAGCTACACTCTGCTTCTACGAGATGCTGCAAATGAAGTGTAAGAAGCACTCAACGACACTGTGTAAATTATAGGTGTTCAGCTGAATAACTCTTCTCTTCTCAGGCTGAGAAACCCCCCAGTTTAGGTCCCCAGAAATAAGAAGCTGCTTTTGAGTCTTCCAGCTTTAGCCTGCTTGTAAAATAAGGAGAGCTCACTCATCTTTGTGCAGCTTTTGGTTCACTCACTTCCCATCTCCAAGGGATGGGGGCCAAGCGCCCTCATTGAGGGCCCATTTCTGCAGCAGTGCCCACGGGGAGGTGGCTCTTGTGCAGCACAAAGCGTTGCCTCTGCACGTGCCCAGGGCGCTGCCCTTCCCCGGGGCCACTGCCAGCACATCTGGCAGGGCCACCGTGGGCCACCAGCCCTGCCTTGGATCCAAGCCGCAGGAATGTTCCTGGGAAGAGCCTTGCTTTCAGCCCACCGTGTTCAGCTTGTCAGACCACAGCAGAGGAGTCTGCGCTGGAGGGTAAAGGGGCACCAGAGTCCCTCTAACTGCAGCTTGAATTTTCCAACAGAAAACAAGAAAATTGGGAGCCAGMTCCTTTGGGGACCAACAAAAATACAAGGCTACAAGCCATGGACACATCAGTCAGTGAGAAATGAATCTGCTAAGATTTCCATGCTAGTATCTGCTAGGGATGGAGAAGTGCACGGCAGGAAGATGCTCTAAGGCTAAAGTTGCTCTCAGGTTGTGGCTGAGCCTCCTTACTCAGGGGATAGATGGTCACCTGCCAGAAACACAGCCCTGGTTTTGCAGCTGTGCAGAGCACTGATACAAGCAGCTCGGGCCACGTTTGTTCCCATCAGGTAGCAGCATGATCGATTCCAGCAAAGATTTGTGCCTGCTGTTCCCTGGGGGGCAGCCGTGTTCCCAGACAGAAAGATGAACTACTTAAAATCTGACCTGTGCCTCATGCTGTGCACCTTGGTGTTTTATTGAAGAGCATTTGAGGTTAGTACGGAGCTGTGGGACTGCAGCTCTTTCAGGAACAATTAACTACAGGGCATTTGAAAGCATGCATTTGCAATATGATTTATCTTCTTACTGAGAGTTTTGCGTAGTCCTTATCCCCAGGTCATCACTTCTAGCTACTGCCTTTTACAAGGGATCAGGAATGGTGCCTTTGAGTTTGGAAAGCACCTGGACATTGTGGGATCCCCCTGGAAGCAGCAAACTCTAACACTATATTTGCCAGTGAACCAAGGATGCAGCTAGATCCATCTTTAACCCATGTCTTCGCCTTCCAGTCACATCTAGAGAAACTAGTTCTGAAGGAACCTTGTGAAGAAAGTGTTACCTTGGTCTAGAGTGTGGGCAAACGCGACCCGTGCAAGGCAGGGAGGCTGCTGGGCAGATGCACAACCCGTGGGCATCCAGGCGCTCCTGGCAGGAGCTCCCAGGCCTCGGAGCACACCGGCACGGCCACTTACTCGTGCTGCAGCAGGTCTTTGAAGTGAATCATCTCCACAATGACCTGGACGTTCTCCTTGGCGGCAGAGCAGAGGTCGTGCTTCAGGTAGCACTCCCGCTGTAACTGGAACACCATCTCTTTAATGGCAGGGCACTTACGGCTGATGCAGCTGAATTTATGCCTCAAGGCATGAGCCTTACACTTCAGAGCATCTTTAATGAAGGATTTTCCCTGAGAAGAAAAGAAATGCAGTAGGTCTGTATTTCTGTCCAYTAAGCACAGCAGGTGATTTATGCTCAACTAGCTGCTCCTCAGTAAGACGACGTCAGGAGTTATTAGATTGCTAAGGATATTGGTTAATGGCTTCCCCCTCTTCTCTATTTCTTCACCCTTCAAGATTGTGCTAAGTTTCCCTGTCTTGTTATTCCAGCAAGGCTGAACACACAGGGTCTTTTCTCTGCTTTCAGGAAACCTTTAAGGTTTCCTCTGCCCAAACAGAGGCCTGACCAGAAAGGGGACGGGCATCAGGGCACCTTTAGGGAATGTGATGCTCGAGTTTTTGGCTCCATCCCCTTCTGGGGCTGCAGCACAGCAGGCTCACACCAAGGACAAGTGCATCCTACAGCGGCTGAGGTCCCCAYGGCCCTGAGCACATACTAAGTTAGTCACCCCAAAGTAGCTTTGTTCTTTTTGAAAATGACTTTGCAATCTCCTCAGAGTCCATCGAGATATGTACAGGCCCCATTCCAGCTGTCAGTGCTTTCTCTACAACCACTTCCTCAGGCAGAAAGGGACCCAAATGAGCTCTCCCAATAATCCTACAGTCTTTGATGTCTTTTGTTGGAAGAAACTGAGTGACATTAAAAAAAATCAGAACAAGAAATCTTAAAAGTTGCTGGAAAGCTGCTTTGGCAACATCCCTTTAACCTCTGCTTGCGATTCCCTCATGCAATTGTTTGGAGRAGGTTGAGGCAAAAACCCTCCCTCCTATTGGATGGAGAAAGATCCTGTCTTTTACCCAAAGGGATTCCGGCACAACTTCACTGACATTAACGAAGACCAACCGGAGATGGGCAAGTAGATTTTGTCCCTAAATTGTTTCAAGCCAGACTGAATTGTTTCTTGCTGATCAAAGGGCTGCTTCAGTCGTCTTGCCCATCTGTGCCACATACCAAGGGCACTTGGCAGCCCTGCCCCGCAGTAGCCAACGTGCACCGTGGGCAAATAAGGACAGAGAGAAAAGTTCTGATACAAACCAAYGCCAACATCGACTCTCAGGTTTCAAAGAAAAGCGAGTTTTGAAAGACTCRGGTTTCATAAGGGAGCAGAAAGCAAAGTGACTAGTGCTGCTCATCATTTAATGCACCCAGAAAGGCATGTGGATAATGAGAAGGGCCCTAAAAAGCCACGTCATAGTCAAGTCACTGCAGTATTAAGAAGGTTTGAGACTCCTTTTTGCTCGGCAGTGCAGATGGGTACAGGCTGTTTCCCATCCAGGCTGAGTGACAGGATCTGGGTATCCTGGGAAAGGGACATCCCTGACTGCACTCAACCTTCCCACCCCTGCCTTGTTCACCAAGTGTGCACAAATAAGACAGCATTCTCAGGAAGTCAGCTGGAAATTGAGCGTTTTCAGACACCCACAGGCTTAGCAGATTCAATTCTCCAACTTTAATGGCCACACAAACGCTTTGTACATCCTCACGAACTTAAGCCAAGCACTCCAGCACTTCCAGATTGTTTTTCTACTGGATGTTCCCACCATCCCCCATTAAAAAGGCCAAATGCTGAAGTCTGCCCTGCCTTCTGCCACGCTTCTAGCAGTGCTCCATAGCTGCTGCTGTTAGTCAAGCTACACTGCAAGCTGCACGGTCAAGCCAAATGCCGCTGGCCCGGCGTCATGTTCTCCCCTCCGCACTGAAACGGGAGAGGAGCTTTACAGGACATAATGACAGGATGTCTCAGTGATGCATACATGGTCTGGGGAGAAAATGAAGGAGACAAACTTAATATTGCATACCATCCAAGTAATGTATCTTAATGCCAGCGCTCGAACCAAAGTATTAGTTGACTAGTGGCTTTAGGAGGTTGCCCATATCAGCTGTGTGCAAGTCCTAAGGATAAACTTTAGCTGCACCTTGGGAAATGATGCCTGAATGACCTGGGTGCCCAAGTTGTGTTTGGGAATCAGCTTTGAGAATAACAAAATTTAGAAGTGTAAAGCATTGGCCTCAATCAGAACCATCATCTAGGTGGTGGTTGCTGAAACATTATCCTGGGAGGGAACTGGAGCTGCAGATACGGACAGTCACACATTGTCCCTGTGCTGCTCTGCATGTGCGTCTTGGTTCTAGATCCTTTAAACCACTGATAAAGTTTCAATTGTGTTGAACTATATATCTATATAATATATATGAGCCTTGTCCTGCATACAGCTGAGTTCTGACGTGAAAAATGTAGAAGAAAATTTGCAAAAGCAGAATTGCTTCTTAATGGTCACTTTTGCTTTTTTTTCCAAAACTGTGTTAAAGAACTAATACACATGCCAAGAACGCATCAGAGGCGAGCAGATAAACTGGACATTGCACTTTTTGTTACCTGGGCATCAAATTTTCCAGCGTTGTGCAGGAATGTCATGCAGATCTCGTGCAAGCCTCGGATCTCACAAGAATTGTTTTCAAAGCATTCGAACACTCCACATCCCACATCGCCAGCATTAACCAGGCAGTGCTGGATTTCAGCTAAAATGAGCATTGATTATGGTTAATTTGGAGAACCGTTCACAGAAGCTAGTGGTGGAAGGGGGGGAGGGAAAGAGATATTTTGCTAACATCATCAGTTGAAAAGAAAAAACACATGTGACAACAGTTATTGTACCCACAGCATGCCTGCTTTTTGCAGAAATTAGGCCAAAACTTGGGTGTACTATGTTATGAAAGTGATCTCCAAGAAGTAAATGCCAAATCCACTAAGCTTACGTCAAGCTGTTTTACTGGAGAAACATCTAATGCTTTTTAATTCTGTAGCAGCTAAGGGACAGGCACAATTTTTGCTGTCTGGCTGTGCAGAGACACCCATGGAACTCAGGTGCCYGAGGGAGAGGTGCAGGAGCTGCAGGAATTGGTTATTCCTGGTACTCCAGGCTCGGGTCTGGTGATGCAGCACAAAGTTCTTCATGGACCACTGGGCTCCCCAATCCCAATGCCTGGGATGGGAATGGCAGAATTCCCACTGATAGCAAAGTCCTTTGTATGGAGCATTGCATAACGTTGCAACTGAGGCCTCAGCTCCTCAGAAATCAATTCAAAAATAGGCATTTTTGAGTGTGTATATGCACGCAATATATATAAAACAGATCAATTAGGCTAGCAACTACATATGTAGTTGTACTGCCCTAAGAGATGTTATGTAACGCTGATAAAAGAAAGCCGCCTGCAACTTACTTGAGAAAGAACAAAAATCTAGTTCTTAACAAGACTGCTTCTAGTCCCTTGGAAAAAAAAAAAAAAGAAAAAAAGAAAAAAAAAAAGGCAGGCCGCAGCGGTGCTGCCGACAGGAAAGCGGCTGCTCCAAAAGCCTGGGGATAAAGTTAGAGGGGCAGCTGCGAGCGCAGGGCTGAGGATGCTACGAGCGTCCGTCCTCGGGGCGCTAGCGATGCCCCTAATTAAAGGTCCCTGGGGAGCCGTCCTGACCCCCCAAAACCCCCCAAACGGAGCGCGTTTCGGGTGGCAACTAGGGGCGAAAGGCGGCCCCCACCGGCAGCGGGCCCGGCCGCCTCCCGGGCAGGGCGCTCCTCGCGGCCGCTTCCCGGCCCCGCGGCTCCGGCGGCGCTGCGGGCGCCGGTGCTGGCGGCGGCCGCGGGGCGCCGCGCGGGGCCGTGATTCACGCGCCGGGCCCTGCGCGCGTGCGGCTCCGCACGTCGGCGCGGAGAGCGTTAACAGCAGAAAAAGGAGAAGGGAGGGGAGCGCCTGGATGCCGCGGCTCCCGCTCTGCGCGGCCGGGGAGCGCTGCAGCGCAGCGCGGCTCCCCCTGCCCGAGCAGAGGGATCCCCGCGGGGGATCCGGCCCGGGACACCCCTGCGCTGCGAGGGGCCCGAGCCGCGGCCGCCTCCCCCGCTTCCCGGCGCCGGGAAACTTTCCCCGCGCCGCCGCGGGGCCAACTTGCCGCTGGGCGCTCCGGGAAGTCACTGTCCCCGGCGGGACTCTCCGCGGCGGGGGGTGGCGGGCGGCGGCTTCTGGCGCGC